ATATATATATATATATATATATATATATATATATATATATAAGGAGCACATAAGTATACATATGAGGCACCTGTATGTGAATACAACTCAAGCAGAAACTTGCACATAAGTATACATATGAGGCACCTATATGTGAATACAGCTCAAGCAGAAAAGTTTTCAATCATTGTACAAATGGTTTTGATTCCGTTAATATCACATATAGTAAGAATGAAATGCATCACCGCATTACTGCGTCGAGTAAAAAATAAAATAATAAATCAGAGTCTTGTCTCCTCTCTTTATATTAATCCACCATCGAAGTTCCGGCATGGAAACAGACAAATTTTCCCATTTTTGGCATGCTGCCCACTGTCAAAGGTTAACACATTTTCTTTTTTTTTTTCAAAATCAGGAGAAAATTGATGTGCGCGCTGATGTCATCCATGAAAATTACTTGCTATGGCCTAACTAACGTGTTGGATATCAAAGTAGGCAAAGCTGTTTGGCAACCCGCCAAGAGGGGTTTATAGCAACACAAATATGAGGGCCTGCATGTGTTAGTGATTACGAATTAGGCAAAATATTTGCCGCCGATTACGAATTACGTTAAAGTCTCAGAGCTTATGACTACTTTACGCTTTGCTGCTAATGTCCTATTACGAATTATACGTTGATTTTTCCGGAGGCTGCCTACGAATTACGAAGTCTAAAAAGGCCTGATTTTTTTTTATTCCAACACCAGACGTGGTGACGCCACCAACACAGGGCACAAATACATGACAGGAAAATACTCATTTTCACCTGAGAGAAGTGAGGAAAGTCGTGTAAAGTGCCTTTCCCAAGGGCACAAGATCGGTGGCATGTACAGTCAGGACTCGAACCCGGGACCTCTAGGTTCCGAGTCGCGCACTCTGCCGCTACGCCACACGACCCCACAAAAAGGTATGATTACGCCTTACGAAAAAGGGCATGCAGGGCAGGCCCTCGTTTATAGCAACACAAATCTGCGCAAATATGTTTGCACTTTTTGACCCTTGCCCCCCTCAACTGGTTGTACCAGTCTCCGCCATTTTCAGCCGTAGCCGTGTGATAACGTGTCACTTCTCTCCAAACTACTGAGGCGATTTCCAACTTCACTTCGACTCCGTACCGACCCCCGACGGTTTGAATAGACAGGTAAGACCTTTGTTTACCACCCACACTCGCTGTGTCGCTTTGTTGTTGTTGTTATCCTTGTTTAACGTCTATTATGTCGCTAGACGTGGTCTCTAGGTGCTCAGTTTTTCACTTGATTCAGTTCAGAGTCAATGATCTCTCTAGGTATTAACACTTGGTGACTTGTGCTTGTGTGAAGCTGGGAGTGTTTCGAGGAGAGCACGTCGAATCGGCGCGTACTCTCGATGTACCGGGAGAGGGCTAGGTACATCTGGTTGTGTCGCGGTACCGCAGCATGCAATTAGTCAGGGGTGTGATTTTAGGAAAATTCGTCTCGGTTACTTTTTGGGGGTAGGTAATCTCCAAGCAGATCCCTATCGGTGGCAAAAATACAGTATCAAATTGGCCAGGCAGTATCCATTAGCCAGAGAAGGTCCGCGACCACCGACGGTAACGAGCTAAACTCCTATGGCTAATGGATACTGTCTTTTGCCACCGATAGGGATCTGCTTGGAGATTAGGGGTAGGGGGGGGGGCATATCGAACGTATTGCTTTTTGATAGTCGAATTTTAGCCGGATAAAAGAATAAATGGACAACATTAACATCACATGTTGCAAAGGATCCAACTTGATGACAACGTATGCATGTATAAAATAGGATATACTCGTATAGCAAAGTAGACGTGCAAGCTTACAGATAAACGTACAGAATAGTATATAGGCCATGTCAGAAAGAAAAAAAAAGTTGTCAAAAGTTATCTACCTGATATTTAGACCCTACAAGAACCTTAGTAGGTTACTAAGACATGTTAAGTGCTTACTGGGATGAGTGGCCTTTGCCCGAATTTTTAAGGCCGGGTCACCTTAACAACATAAACATCCGCATATTGATGGCGTTAATTAATTTATGGGTTTACGGAAAACCTGGGTGCCTGCCAGGCCTGACTACCTCGTCTGTTTACCTGGCCTGGCTAGCGCGTCAGGCTACTCAGATCCCCCCATTCATATCCTCATGAAAGATGAGGCGTCCTGCGCCCTCTAGCGAAATGCATGGAAACTACAGCCATTACACTGGTACGTACTGGTACTCCTTGCACACAGCAAGAAATCTACAGGGAAAATAGGAATAAACTGATCTAGATATCATTTTTTAAAGTTTCAATAAGACAAGGGTAATAAACGGTAACAGGCAAGACAGTTTTAAGCCACCTTATTACCAAACTTCTCGCATTATGCTTCAAATCATAACACCGTCAATCTTTTTATTTTATTTTCTTCATTTAGGTCACGAAATGGACAAGACAAGCACCAAGCTTTCTGCTGAAGGCACGTCTACAGCACATACTGACGACAAGAAGGAAAGCGGGAAGGACGGAAAGAATGCATCCGACAAGAAGGCATTGTCACATCAACATGCAAAAGCCCATAAAAGACGCAAGACCCCGTCTAAAACACATCCTGTTAGAAAAAGAGTCCGAAAAGAGGCATGCAGTGAGTGTGAGTTCATGGCCACTTGTAAAGCTGCCCTAGCTAAGCACATGGCAAAACACACCGGTAACAAACCATTTAAAGGGCAGAAGCCACTCCAAGACGACTTAGTTTTATTGTATGTGCCTATGGTATTATTAATCAGAAACTCTGTTCGTTTACGGAATATTTACGCGGTTCGCCCATTTTATACACAATTTGAACGCCCCGCCACTAGAAAATCTATTCCCCGCTCGACTAGCTTCCGGTTACGCAAGCAACCGGAAATGACGCATCACGAGGGAACATGATCCAGCTTGTTTCAGCCTGAACGCTTGGCAGCCATATTTGTTTTGCTTGTTTGCACGCTTGGCCGAAAGTTTGTACAATCGTAGAGGTATAGAAAGGACAGGAGAACGTTTGGTAAACGCAGTTATCTGGGGGGGGGTNTTTGGTCAGATGCCTAACCAGTGTGTGGCAGCGAACTG